GTGCGGAAAGCTTTAATATGCGTGATTATGCGCTACCTCCCTTTGTCGATCAATGTGATGGGCCGAGATAAAACACCTAACAAATTACTCACCCTTAACGCGGGCATCCGCTCTGATGTGCGGGCGAGGGCGTGAAAATCTGAATTTTAAATCGTTTTACATAATTTTTCCTCCCCGGTCCCGGGGGACGAAACTTTTCCGACCGGAGTGATAATAGCCGGTCGGCCCGGACACAGGACCCGGCACGAAAGTAGCCCGGGAAGTTGGTAATCGCCTTTGCTGCGAAATTTAATTTTCAGCGCTTACAACTTTCGTGTGTGACGGGAAACTTTTTAACGCCTCCGGACAAATCGCATTTTGCCCGAACTTCCAGACGCCGCGACAACAGATTATGAGGGGGAGGAAAATATTAACGACTTGTTCGTACGATCCGAGACAATTAAAAAGGTGGTCAAACAATGCGCCTCCCGTAAGATAACATGTGGGGGAGGTGATTTAAGCGAGGAGTAGGTCAAGGAAGGGTGGAAACGGCACCGGGGGGTGGAAAGCGAGATAGTTGGAAAGTGAGATAAGATAAAATTAGAGGATAGGCGAAAGGGTTGCGCGGGATAATCGTGGCTATTCATCAGCCGCGGGGGATGGGAGGGGGCGCGCGGGGTGGTGGAGGGGGCCTAAAAGATGACACCCTGGGGAGGAGAGCGATTCGAGCCAATCTACATAAGTTACTGGAGTTAATAGTTGAGTTCGGCCGCGCCAAAACCGAGGCGGGATCCGGATGCGGATTCGCATTTTAAAATTATGGCCGGGCAGCCAGTTGTCGAGTGACCTTGCCACCCCCACCCTCACCCCCACGACCCCTCGTTGAACTTCCGCGTTGGATTCCGAGGGTCCAACGGGTTGGGCGTTGAGTTCCTTCGTGAGGGCTTCAACTCTCCCGCACGCGCCCCGGTGGCGCCGCGCACTACATTTTTCAATGAAGAACTTTAATTTCTGGCTTATTTTCAAAGGGACGGATGTGATATTATTTTCCCTGCGCAGATAGATGCTTTTATGAATGAGCTAGAAATTGTAGTTTCTCAATACAAAATGTAGTCCAATTAGCCTTTTCTGCCGTCTCGTTTCCCACCTTGGTGACCACATCTGGAAGAAGCCCTTTTTGCCGGAAAAATTAAAATTGAAATTCAGGTATCGATGCAGACAGGGGTGCTATGCAAAGATTTTGATAGAAAAACTACCCAAATGTGCCGAGCAGCACTTTTAAGTTTAACAACCTTTTTCCGACAAGAATTTACTCGAAATTTTCAGATTCCACGATCCATGCTTAAAAAACTATGAGCACACGCGCACTTTCTGTCAACAATTTCGCTGCTTTTTGACAGTTATCCACGGTTGCCACAGAATTTGAAAACTTAAATTCCCTGGCATTTCCCGGATTTCCCTGCCACATTTTGGAGAAATTCCCGGAAAACTGAATAAATGTCAGATTTTTAAAAATATGTAGTTAGAAATAGTTTTCAGACAAAATTTGTTGTTCGGAACGTGAAGCCCACTCGAGAAAGCAAACAAAGGTGATTCGAAAATTTTCCCGACATTTCCAGGTTTTCCCTGTCTTTTTAAAATTTCCAGACCTTTCCCGGTATTCTCTGACTACGGCAACCCTGTAATCCGCAGTGGGTGCAGTTTCCGAAGCCAAAATGTCCAATAGTTCCCGTGTGAAAATACAAATTAAGAGTGGAAATTACGTAACGTTGAAATTTAGTTGCGTCCTGCGCTCTCATCTGGCCAACGACAATTTGACAATCAAGCCTCGGTGAATGCGTCATAAAACCCGAAATAGACGGATTTCAACCCGAGACTCGACAGGCGCTATCTCCCGGATCCGGGATACGGGAAACGCGCTGCACTCGAATTGGGTTAACGTATCGGGGATTATGCTAAAAGCGGTTGGTAAAACAAAGCCGTGCTATCGATTCGCGCCCGTATTCACGCTCGCTACCAACGCCGGCGCACAGGGGCCAACGCGCCCTCGGGAGGGGTCAAACATTAAATTTTCCACCAAAACAACACATTTTCATGTCCATTCCACCCCATTACAAATTCTCAGAGGAAATAATAGAAGGAAATTTCGAGAGGAGACCAATAGAAGCAATTTTCGAACTCCTACGTCCCGCACTTACGGAGCTCCAACCAGGCTTCAAAAGTTTTCACATCATGTGCGATCTCTCCCACCGACCCGCGCCACCCTCCGACGTCGCCAACCCGGTCACGAAACCCCCCCTCCCCCGCCGT